ACGCACACGTTTTACAACTCCCACCTGTGCAGCCTTTAAGTGCCTGTATTCTCACTGAACACAAACCAAGCCTACCCAGCAAGGCAGATGCAAGCACAGCTTCTGCCACTGCCTGACACTTTTCAGAACAGCGATGTGCCTAGGAGTGATGACCAGGAGAAGGAGCAGCCTGTTAATTCTCCAGTACCGCACACTTCAACCCACAGGAGGCTTATGAACAAGGAGTCACGGTAGCAGGTAACAACAGGCCCAGAAACAGCTACAGACCTTGCATGCACCCCACCTACTGTAATCTTGGTAACTCCTCAATTTGGGAGTTAACACTTTAAGATATTCAAAGCACGTTAAGGGCTGAAAAAAAAAAAACTGGAAAAAAAAAAAAAAAAAGAATCAAAGAAACAAACAAAGAAAACAACAAACCAACTGAAACACACATGTACACCTTTGAGATTGCAGCAGAGACAGCATCTGTGTGTCAGACACAGATTTGGCAGTTGGAATGGGAGCTATTTAGCAGCTTCTTGCATGTTGGAGTGACAGATAGAAGGAAAAATTAACCAGCCCCTCTATACAGGTATCCACGAGCCCTTGGCCTTTGTAATACCAAGTGGGCTGTTTCCAGCCACACTGACCAACATCAGCTCCCACCAAACGTGGCAGCTGGCTGCTGTGCCTGAGCTCCAGCAGTTCCGCCCCAGATAACCTCAGCACTGTCAGTTTTCATCCATATGCAAAAAGCTTTTAATTTCAGAAGAAAACACTGATGGAGGTAAGAAAACAGATCTTTAATAACCGAATGGTAAGGAAGACTGGACAAGAGAAAAAGCCCTCTTTAGTTTCCATTTCTGTAACAGTTTTGAGAGAAGAGGAAAATGGAAACACTATTGAGAGAGACCTGAACAAATCGTTCCTGCTAAATCAGGGAAGGAAAAAGCAGAGTTCTTCAGGACAGGCTTTTCCCATGAGCAACCCACGAGCATCTGCACTAGAAATGGAACACTGATGCTAGGCAGCTGTGCAGGAAGAGTGCTCCAGCCCCTCAGGAAGCAGGCTGCAGCTGCACTCTTTGGCTTGGTTTGTTTTAAAGTCACTGTGATATCTACAAGTGCCACAACAAACTGACAACCCAGACATTCATTTTCAACATGGAACAAAATGAATGTTGTGAGGCTAAACCTGTATGAAAAGCCAAGCTCATATCGCCTTATCCAATATGGCACTGCAGAGCTCCTTGTAAGAAATTTCCAAGCAGTTTTTAAATCCAAATTTTGAGATCTAAGAAAAAATGAAAACACAGACCTCATAACTTTGCTCCCAAGGATTATGCTTCTGAAAAGACCCCAACAAAAACCTATTTGCAATAAATTGTTGGAAAGGATTCTGTTAAGTGGCTGTACGCAGCATTTGCTGCAAGCTGAAAACTGCTGCATACACAGCTGATGCACACACATGGAGCTTTTCCTGAAATCATCTGCAATGCCTGCAGATACCTCTGTTCTACAGCAGTCCCATCTATTACTCTGCATCCTCTCATAGAATTCAAGTACTTCGATCACAGCAATTCTTCCAATGCCCTTTCAAGACTTATCATATTTTTTCAGAGATGCACATAGGGGGAAAAAAATCAGGATTTTGAGCTCACATTGTTGTTCCTGTAGAAATATAGATTTGAGTTCTGCAGCCCCAAAAGTTGTCAGATCACTTCCCTAAAAACTAAGCAACTGTCTTGTTCAGGTCCCTCACTTCTGATGACACCTCCTGGCAGAGCTCATTCCGCCCTGCCTTCTGATTTCTGTATCCATCAGATAGGACAGAAGGTTCAGTGTATGGCAGGCTGGCAGCCTTTATAGATGCATGCATGGAAGCACACTTTGGTGCTAGCTAAAGACTGAACAAAGCTGCTGAAGGATGGCAGCAAACCTCACCAGAGGTGAAGCACTTGGAAACCCACAGCAGCGTCAGCTCCACCAGCAGCAACCATTACAATTCTTCCATATGAATTTTAAAAGCAAGATTCCAAAACAAAACCCACTTTTCCTTTCTGAATTCTCAGGCAATATTTTTATAGGTTTATTTCTATTGTGTCCATCTTTCTTTTCTACCACATTTCCTACACTGCTTGCATATAATTCCCATGGAGTTCAGCTCCCATTGCACCATCACTCTTGTTCTTGTATTACTTCCTTCAAGTTCTCTTCCATGGTTTCTGGTTTTATGGCTGTTGAGTTCTGTTCTTCAGACACATTTGATGGGTTTTGTTGCGTGTCTTCTTTGTTGCTCTTCACCACCTCCTGTAGATTGTATTTTCTGAATAGAACATAGTCTCTCACCACACTCAAGCAACAAACATTCTTTATTATTTCCACCACAACTGTATGTTGTGGATTATTGAGATCAACTTTGTTTTCTGGATTAAGGCTGCCCACAATTCCTGTAAAACAAAATATAGTTTAAAAAACGTTGGGAAAACAGTTTCAGAGCATCAGTTTACTCTCCTGAATGGAACACAAGTCAGAGGAGATAACAACCCTCTACTTGTGACCAATCATTAGTTACTGCAATTGTGTAAAACAGCAGAACAGACTAGGATTCTTAAGAAATACTACCAGGAGGACTACAGTAACTAAATTATCCCATTGTAACTAGCAAGAAACAAGACGCCAAAGTATGCAACTTGTTGCAGAGCTGTTTTTCAAGTTCCACATTAAATGGAAATAGGAAAGTGTGTATTTCAGTATAGCATTCAAACAACTTGATGTAGTCATTTCAAACCACGTATAACTGACACACCAAATAGAATTCACTACTGCATGCTGATCTGCTTTGTCATCTCTTGAGACATCAACAGGAAACACTGATGTCAAGCTCTTTTCAGAGCCTTAGAGACATTTTTGTAACCCAACATACAGGTGTTAAGCAACAAATATGCCTCCTTGTTTACAGCACTTTTCTTCAAACAGCCTAGCCTGTTACGCATGCAGCCGTGTGCCGCCTGTGTACTTAGGTTCAGCTCTGTATGTGATCTATACGTACCTGCCAGCTCCTTAATTACTTCTTCTCTATTCATGTGACTGTTATTACGAGCTTTGTAAACGATCTGGAAAGTACTCTTATTGGGGGCTTTAAACCAAGGCTCAAAAAACGTTTCTGTGTATTTTTTCATATCTTCCAGAAAAGCCTTGCAAGTTCCAGAAATGGGCAGCATGCGCAGAATTACTCTGGTTTTCTTCTTTTTAGTGGTATGAATGTCCTTTAATATATGGTGCACCAGGTTCTCAGGTTCTACAAGGAAACAACTAGGTGTGAGAATCAATTTGAAAGATCTTCTCCCTTGTTCCTCCCCCAAAGGTATAAGCTGGGGAAACGCGCGCTTAGCTGCACAGCGCTCAGCCTCAAACCCTTTTCTGAGAATTCTTTCCATGCACCAAAATTGGGTAGCTGTGGATCATTCTGTCAAGGCCGATTCCTCTGCCTTCAGAAACTCCGCTAATTGCAAAACCAGTGGGAAGGACAGTGGGAAATGGTAGAATCATTACAGCCAGAAGAGACCTCTAAGATCACCTCACCCAACTGTCCACCTACCACCAAAATTTATCCACCAACCACATCCCTCATTGCCACATCTCCCCTGCTCTTGATCGCCTGCAAGGATGGCGACTCAACCACCTCACTGGGCAGCCCATTCCAGGGCCTGACCACACTTTTGGAGAAAAGATTGTTCCTAATCCTCAACCTGAACATTCCCTCTCATCCCATTGCTGTTAGCTGGGCACAGAGGTCCACCCCCCGCCCCCCACAACCTCCTTTCAGGAGTTGTAGAGCACAGTAAGGCCTCCTGCGGGACTTCTCTTCTTGGCTGAACCATCCCATTCCCTCAGCTGCTCCCTATGAGACTCATTCTCCAGACCACTCGCAGATCCCACTGCCCTTTTCTGAACGCACCCCAGGGCCTCGATATCTTTCTTGCAGTGAGGAGCCCAACACCGAACGCAGCTCTCGAGGCGTGGCCTCCGCAGGGCTGAGAACAGAGGAACGGTAACCTCCCCGTCCTGCTGGCTGCCTACTGCTGATACAGCACAGGATGCCGCCGGCCTTCTGGGCTGCCCGGGCCCCAGGAGAAGCCCCGGCCCTGTGTGGCGCGGAACGGCGCGGCACACCCACCGATGCCGCGGGTGCGGATGAAGACGACGTTGTTGGCGCCGCTCTCCACTGACTGGAAGCGCCGCAGCTGCCGCTCGGTGCAGGCGCGGATCTGTCCGACCTCCTTCTTCAGCGCTGCCTCCGCGTCGTCGTCGTCCTCCTCCTCCTCCCGCTCCTCCTCCCTCTCGCTCCCCGACAGGCGCTCCGCGGCCTCCGAGAGCTGCGGGCACACGGTTCGCCCCGCGCGGTGAGCGCGGAGCGGAGCTGCCAGGCGGTACCGCGGGCTGGCCAGAACGCCGCTCAGCGCCGGCGATCCGCGTCAGGGCGCGGAGCAGAGACCGCGTGGCCGCCCTCCCCCCGGCCCCGCCTCGGGACGGACGCACGCACGCACCTGCTCGGGGCCGTACAGCAGGTCCCCGTACTCGCCCAGCAGGCTGTAGGCCTCCCCCACGCACTTGCGCTCGTTCATGTTGCAGGTGATGAGGATGCCGCGCATGCCGGCCTCCAGCTGCCGCCCGCCGCCGCCGCGGGGCCGCTTGGCGCGAGCCGCGAAATGCCCCTTCAGCCGCCGCTTCCGTGCTGCCGCCTCCGGCGCGGCCATGGAGAATCCCGCCGCCGCGCGCCGCGATGGCGTCACACGGCCGCCCTCAGCGCCGCCCTCAGCGCCGCCCTCAGCGCCGCCCTCAGCGCCGCCGCTGTGGGTCAGCTCGGCGCCGCCTGTCGCTGCGCTCCCTCCCGGCGCTGAGTGCGGGCTCCTTGCGCTGGGTGCGCGGCGCTTGCTTTCGTTAGCAGAGCCCGCTTTGTCTGCTCGGTAGAGGCTCGGTGGACGTCTCCGTAATCTACTTGGTGCGTGCGAGGACTTTGTAAGCAAATTGCTTGATGCTACGGGAGCAAAGACGACCTATGGGGGGAACCGGCTTAGCTAAAGCAAGAAGGAAGGCGGCCGAGGGTCGCAAAGAGGAAGATGATGGATGAAGGAAGGGCTGATCGGCCTCCAAAGGGCTCTACCCTCTACCATGCGACATTACCGTGCATTAATGAGTACCTGGAAAATGTTAATTGCTTCTAAGAAATATAATGAGTATGGATAGCGTGTGTGTGTAAAGCTTATCTCGGGTTTGTGACATGGCACCCAGCCTGTGTCACTGCAAGGCAGCCAGGCTGTGACCCAGCACCACCGCCTCCTGTCCTCATCACTTCTGTCCTCAGAAATTCAGTTCCAGGGGCAAAGGCTGCAGTGCCAGAACAAAGACCCACACTTCGCGTGGCTCCTGAGGGCTGCCTGCTGCTCAGCGGCTCCGGAGCGCAGTGTGCAATGTGGGGAACACAGTGCGAGGCATGATGGCACAGGAGGCCTTGCTGGGAGCATGGCTGTTGTGCTGCTGGCAACCAGAGTCCAGCTGGGCTGCAGAAGGGGAAAGTGTGTACACTGGTGTAAATTGGTGGGATTCTTTACAATTTACAACAGGAGGTGCCATTTGTGTCTTACATAAAACTTGGTTCCTGGCAAGCTTTCAGGACTCATTTAACCCTACAGCAATTGCCAACTATCAGTGGGATTTGTCACAGTATTAGTGGGATATTGGTCACAAATCATACCCCAGAATCTCAGCACGTTGGGTTGGAATGGCCCTCACAGCCCCACCCTGTCCCCCAACTCCAGCTGCCCCAGGCTCAGCCGTGGCTCTGAGCCCCCAGGGATGGGGACCCACAGCTCTGGGCAGCAATGCCAGCACCTCTCTGCCCTCTGAGGGAAGGATTTTCTTCTAACATCTCACCTAAATTTCCCCTCTTTTAGTTTCAATCCATTTCAGTCCAGCAAAGTTTTCTTGCTGTTGTGGGAATCAAATGTTGTTTCTGCATTAGAATTGGATAATTTTTTTATTTCATGATCTCTGCTATCATTGTAATTCTTGGGAGTCCTTCTACTTAACTTGGGGAAGATCTCTGATAGTTTACAGCACTTATCCTCTAGACGAACCTTCTCAGGAACGCGCACTCTGTATATAGGTGTATATCTGTATATTTTGTCACACACTGCAAGAATATCCTGCACGAGAGCAAACCAGAGAACAAGTATGGCCTTCCCGAGGAAGCGCCAGAAGGGACATCGGAAGGCCTGGCATCATCCCCATGCTCTTTGTTTAACGAACACTTTAAAGAAAATCACCATATCAATACGGCAAGGAGAGCACCGAGAAGACATCTTGGAAACAACAGGATGGCTGCTGACTGACACCAGGTAACAAATAAATTAACAAGTAAATAGCAAATGTTAACCTTCTGTAAGATTGTGAACCTGGAGTACCCAGCCAGTGGGGAAACAGGGGAGGGGGGGAGGCAAGGGGGAGAAAACAGGGTATAAAGGCTGTCATGATGTGTCCATAGGTGCGCTCATGCTTGCGGGATGCCCGCCATTGCAATCGCGAATAAATCTGCTCTTACACCGTCCTGACAAAAATTATTTGGATATTTCCAACACTGTTAAGCAGGTATTCTTTTTTAGCTGCACCAGGAAGCACTGGGGGTTAATTCCACCATAAGAGCTTTTAAGATTACATGTTTAGGAGTTCCTTATATGTTCACAGATAGTACATATTCGTCATTCCTTCACGAGATAATGAACAGATAGGCGCCTGTCTCCGGTAGTGACTTACAAAGGTTTCAGCCCTCTGTTCCACGATCTCTGCTGCCATCCAGTGTCCGTTCAGCTCCATGACAGCCCAGTCGGTTGCTTCTTCCAATGTTCTTTGCCGCTCGCCCTCTAGATGAACTCTCTTCATTGACGCGTGTTCAGTAGGAGAACACCTATTACAAGTAATTTATAGGTACCAAAATCGTAACATTTGCCTACGCAGCCATTATTGTCCGCACATCTATTAGTTCTGGGATAGAGATTGCATCCTGTCTTTCAGTGATGTACTGGGAAATAGGAAGATAAGGAGGATAGCGGGAGTATCTTAACACCCACATGTTGCATTCTAAGCTTCCCCCAGAATGGAGCATTTCAGCCCTATCTTCTTTGATGTTTGATAAGCCTGATTGTGCCTTTTCATTATTGTGTTTCTTTTGCTGGAGATCCCTGGCTAAAGCAGAACAGCCTTACAAAATGCTTTCTAGTCTGTAACGCTATGCCCGTAATTAACTACTCACATCTAAAAGCTATTACAGTTTTGCAAGCAAGAATTAATCATATTATACAACAATTCAACATCTACATCGTACATCATAAGGATATGCTGCCAAAATATATTGTGTATTTACTTCTTCAAATCACCATTTCCCTTGTCCTCTCACTGTCTGCTGCTGTAAAAAGTTGGTCCCCCTCCTGTTCATAAGCTCCCTTTAAGTCCTGGAAGCCCGCAATGAGGTCTCCCTGCAGCCTTCTCCTCTCCATGCTGCACACCCCGGCTCCTCAGCCTGTCTGCACAGCAGAGCTGCTCCAAGCTCCGAGCATCTTCATCGCCTGCCCTGGCCCTGCTGCAACAGCTCCCCCCC